TTTCTTTCTTCTGTTGAACACAAAAGAAGATATTTGGAGGAATTAAAAAAAAATTTTATTCTTGCGGTTGATTGGATAATGATAACCAGTAGCCAAATAGCTTTTTAGCCATTCAAATCTGGCTCCATTCTAATATTAAATACCCAACTTTCAAAATTCAGTCAATTCCAATAGAGAAATTAAGTTTTTCTTGTTGAATATCTTGTTTCACTCTGTTCCACCATTTTACAGAAGTCAAATTGCTTGTGAAGACCTGATTCATGACATCCATTTGTTGGTACAGCAAAGCACTGAATAACTCGCTTTTGACATTGAAAATGATTTCAGATATTTCTGGAAATGCCATTTTGACATTTATACCAAATTTTTAGTATCAGCATTTCCCATACTCCCAACATTTGGCGTTGAAAATGATTTTGGACATTTCACTTATCGGCAGAAAAGAAAATTTTCAGCCGATGCTAATAATTAAAGGGTTAGTTCACCCAAAAATGAAAATTCTGTCATTAATTATTACTCTCGTAATTGTTCGAAACCCGTAACCCTTGTGTTGTTTGAAACCCGTAAGACCTTCGTTCATCTTCGGAACCCTCCCATAGACAGCAAGGTAACTACCACGTTCAAGGTCCAGAAAAGTACCAAGATGATCGACAAAGTAGTCCGTGTGACATCAGTGGTTCAACTGTAAAGTTACGAAGCTACGAGAATACTTTTTTGCACAAAGAAAACAAAAATAACGACTTTATTCCACATTTTCTTCTCTACTACGCCACTTGTTGGACGCGCGTTCAAGACAGTATCATGATGCGAGCGTCACATGGACTACTTTGTCGATCATCTTGGTACTTTTCTGGACCTTGAACGTGGCAGTTACCTTGCTGTCTATGGGAGGGTCAGAGAGCCCTCATATTTCATCAAAAATATCTTAAATTGTGTTCCAAAGATGAACGAAGGTCTTACGGGTTTGGAACAAAACGAGGGTGAGTACTTAATGACAGAATTTTCATTTTTGGGTGTACTAACCCTTTAAAAATGATGATAATATTGGCCTTATCGCTAATAATCAGCATTTCCCTTGTGCTTTGACTTTGAAAATCACCACAGCATACATGATCATCTAAGTTACATCGCCAAAAACTCTCTTCCAGCTCAATCTTTCAGTCATCAGCGTGGGCAGGTCAAGGGAATGTTCTTCTGGAAAGCTCTGCTGTTGAGAGGGTAATGGGAGGGTGCGAGGGCATGCTGGTCTTTCAGAAAGGTCGGCCGCGGGCCGCAGAGAGCACGTGTGAATGGCAGACGCCCCGCCGGGAGCAAACGCTTCATTGTTCATTTTCTCCCTGAGCTTTTGAATGCCCACAGGAACGCAGAGCATTGTTTATTTCCACAAGAACCTTTCAGAGAATGTGAAGCTAAATTTAGCCACTGGGTCACGTCAATTATTGCCACCTTTTATTCAGTGTTCTGGGACCATATGGACATTTAATAATCATAATGGCTGGACAGACAGCATCTCATGCCTTTTTATTCAATAAATGAATTAATGATTGCGCTCAGAATGGAATACTAGCACACACTATATACTGCGTTTAGTTTACTGTATTCTACATAATCTAGTACGCTGTATAAAGATATTTTTGCTCAGTTTGGGTCTCTAAATAAAAATGTGATGTTTTTTCAAGTATGAGCTCCATATCCTCACTATATCATACTAGGGTTATTATCATGAACTAAAAAATTCAATATACATTAACTGAAATAAAATAATATTATGTAATGTATATATATATATATATATATATATATAATTATATCCATTTTTTTATTTAATTTAATTTTGGTTTTACTAGGTCTACTACTATTAATCAGTAGTGAGGGAGGTACTGCTGCAGTATTGTTTTTAACATGTGTTTGATTTTTCTATATATGCCATAGTTTGCTTTACAGAAACCAATTTTTTTGCACCCTCAGATTCCACATTTTCAAATAGTTGTATCTCGGTCATGATCAAATTATTTATATAGTATAGTATTATATAGTATACAGTATCATCTTAATAGAAAACCTGTTTTTAAATTGTTGCCTCCTTATTTTGATTCTCAGAACATGCTACTTCCCTTTTAAAATCATTATCACTTCCTGTCATGATCGCTCTTTCTCTGTTTGCTCTCTCTCTCTTAGCCTGTGGCTTGTGCTTTGACAAATTGTGTTTACAACCAATTAGTGTGATTTGTAATGTGCTTGTTTGCCATCAATGCGCAGTCAGAGCAAAGGAACCGTGGAAAACACTTGTTGATTTTATTTCAATTTCCAGAATTTCCATCTAAAAACTTGGATTGCTGCCAAATCTGCGCCGGTTCTTGATGCATTATATGTATATCTGTGTGCAACAGGGTTTTGAGTGAATACACCGGCCTGTCCGATCATTTCCACACATCCATTACTCCAGTTTTATCATTCACAGTTGTTTTTAGACGGTCTGGTGCTTCGCAGAAATCTCTCTTTCATGAGCTCCACGTTGGGCGAATCATCACATAAGCAAAGCTCTGTGAAAGCTCAAACAGGCACTTGTGATTTTCAGCAATTTTCCCAGTGCCGCCCCTGGCTTCCACAATGACACAGCAGAAAATGAGCCATCAACCGCTCTGTTCTCCAGTAATCAAATGAAGTACACCCTGCAACCGTACAGTCTCTTTGAAGAGCACGAGAGCAAAACAAGCTCAGCTTCACTGCATTTGTATTCAAGCTGTTCAAAGCAGACGTTTCTGCTCCTCCCAGATTTGTTAAATCTAAATAGCTTGTTCAGAAATAATCATGTGACATAACAACAGTTAATTAGCATATGCCGCCGATTTGTACATATATTTTACATATATTTGCATATATTTTTGGGTACATTTATATATGTGACCCTGGACCACAAAACCAGTCATAAGGGTAAATTTTTCGAAATTGAGATTTATACATCATCTGAAAGCTGAATAAATAAGCTTTCAATTGATGTATGGTTTGTTTGTATTTGGCCGAGATACAACTATTTGAAAATCTGGAATCTGAGGGTGCAAAAAAATCAAAACTTGAAATCGCATCATATGACCCCTTTAATGCATGTGTGTGAGTGTTTTGTGAAGTTCCCCTCAACCTTGATTCATTCGCCTCAAAGCATGTCCTGACCAGCATGCCTCAGTCCGTCCACATGTTACCCAGCAGCCCTGTGACTCTCCATGTGAGACTGAGCGTTTATCACTGATGTGAACGGCCTCCTCTGTCCTCTCACAGCTCTGTCTGTGTGTGACTGCGGCCGTGATTGTATTTATTGAGACGTCGGCGCCTCATGGCAGAGAGGAAGAGAGTGGAGAAGAGAGACGGAGAGGGTGGGTGTATGCCAGTCTGCATGCTCTTGTGATCGGGGCGTATGACTGCTGAAAGCAGCAGCACTGACTGCGTGCTTGGATTGGTAATAAACAGCAGGAGTAGAGAGAGAGAGAGAGAGAGAGAGAGAGAGAGAGAGAGAGAGAGAGAGAGAGAGAGAGAGAGCGCGAGAGCGAGAGAGAGAGAGAGAGAGAGAGAGACGATAGAGAGCCACCGGCGGCCCCAGAAGAGACTGACAGACAGACAGATATGTTGAAGTTCTGCACCACCCCTCGCTCAAGGTGTGTAGCTGTGTATGTGCGTGTGTGTGTGTTTACATCATATTTGACTCTGTCCTGTTGGGAAATCATACTAAAAGCAGATTCTGATGGCGAGAGCTGGTTTTACATGGATTCTATCTGGTCAGAGCTGGTTTAGGTGGCTGCTGGTGTTGCTGACGTCAACCTGGTAGACCATCTTGGTCAAACAAGTATATATATATGAGTGTGTGTGTGTGTGTTTTTATAAATAATAACCAGTTTTTAATAAATTATTTTATTATAAATATTTTTTTATTTTAATATTTTATTTATTTTAAATAAATCATTATTGGGATGGGCGTTAATTAATTATCATTATTAATTGACTTAATCATCATTTATTATCATTACTTTCTGTATTTATTATTATAAATATGTCTATTTATTAGAATTATTATAATTTATTTTAATGCAGTTATAATTAATATTTATATAATTTTCTCATTTGCTGTAATTTAATATGTGAAATATAATTTTTTATAATGTATTTTTTTAAATTCCTTTTTTAAATCAGATATTGATTAATTAATTTATTTATTTTACAAATTTTAGAAATGAA